AGGGGGGTGACTGGGGGGCCCCACTCTGCCATGGGTTGAGCTATGGGGAGAGGGGAGCAGCCCCCTGCTCGTCTTCGGTTTTCTGGGAGCAGCCACCCCCCATCCATCTCTCTAATTGTCAGGGAGCGGATTTAGTGCCGGGTGTCTCGGGCTGGCCCCGGGTGACACTCACAGATGGGACGAGGGCCATAAATCTGCCTGGCCCAGTGCTAACTCTCCAGCTAAATGAGGCCTGGCTGGGGGGGCCGGAGCTGCTAGCCCGGGGCCAGGCCAGTGCTTGGCTGGGGGGGCAGATGGGGACATGTGGCTCTGCTAACAGAGTGACAATAAAATCAGGAGCCAGAAGGAACCGCTTAGCCCCCTCCATCACCCCCAACCTGCTCCTTGCATGGCATCTCCCCCCAACCTCCCTGCTACCCATTTACCCCCAAATTATCCCACCCTTCCTATATGTGACCCTACAAATTGAGTCCCTCTCATCCCATCCCCCCACCCCATTTCCCGGCCAAACCCTCTGCCCCCCAGCAAAGGGGCTGTGCTGTGGCATGGACGGCATTTGGGGTACATCCAGCACCCCCTGTTTGATGATGCTGGGAGTTGGAGACAAGGCTCTGGCACTGAGGGGGCTGCATCCGTCTGTCCGTCCATCACTCACCCCAATCAGCCCCATGACAACTTCGATGGCGCCGGTGCCCACGGTGGTGTAGGGGATCTGGGACACAGGGATCCCGGCGTTCTCGAAGATGATGGTGGTGTAAAACCAGATCTGCCAAGGAGGGGAGTTAACGTGAGCCAGGGGGACGGAGCCATGGGGCGCTTGATGAAGTGAGTTGCCAGGTCTCAGCTCAGCTTGTGCAGAGCCAGGTCCCGGGGTGAGGACCCCCCAGGGCTTACGGCATCGATCCCTGAGAGCTGCATGCCAGCGTTCACCACCACCACCGAGAGGGTTTGCCAGCGGACAGAGCGGTCTCGCAGCAGCTGCCAGACAGAGACCATCTCCACGGAGGAGAGCGACTGCTGCTCCTCCTTCATCTCCTTGATCACATCCTGCACGTCGGGCGTCCCCAGGAACTGGCGCAGTGCTGTGGGGAGAGTGGGGATCACGGGCATGCGTCTCCCCATCGCAGGATGGGTGCTCATAGGTATGGCACAGAGCAGGGGCAGGGGCTTGGTTCTGCCCTGGCTCAGCCTCCCCAGGGGACCTCCCTGACCCATGGGGCCGAGCATCCATAGGAACCAAGGAGATGCCTCACACCATGGTGACGGGCACCATGGAAATGCTATGGCACAACTGGGTGGGACAGGAGGGCTGAACCATAAGGACTATGGTGGGCTGTCAGGTCTGGGTGTGGAAGGATGCTAAGAGGATGCACCTTGGTCTTGGGAGACCCTGGACCAGTGCCCAGCACATCCCGGAGCCAGTCTCCCCCAGGACACCCCCTCACCCTTGGTGGCCCCACAGACATCGTTCCTCTCTATCAGCAGGTACCGCGGGCTCTCAGGGAAGCAGTGCAGCAGCAAGAGCTGGAGGCAGGCGGGAACGACCACCACTGATAGGAAAAGGGGCCAGAACCTGTCCTGAGAGGAGTCAAAATGGGACGTGTCACAGGGAGGGCAGAGCAGGGTCCAGCACGCATGGGCTGGGGTATTGTGCTCACCTCGCCCAGCAGCTCTGGGAGGCCCAGGACCTGTGCAAAGAAGACCCCCAGGCAGATGAAGATGCTGGGCATGAGGCCCAGGAAACCCCGCAGGTTCTTGGGGGCAATTTCTCCCAGGTAGAGGGGTACCACGCTGAGACAGATACCTGGGGGGAACAGGAGGGACCGGGCTGGAAGAGGCAGTGGGGAGAAGGGTGCCCAGCCAGATCCTCGGTGCATTTCCTCCCATGCCCAGCACCATCCACAGTGGGGACCCGATGGCCAGGGAGATTGCCCTGTCCGCCCCATGGAGAGCCTCACTGCAGAGCCTGTGGCCATGGGGAATATGAAGTCTTCTCCAGCCCCCTGGGAATGGGCTGGAGACCGAGCCATGAGGAAGGGGCCGTGCACAGCCCTGCAGCCCAGGCAGCACCTACCTGAGTGGAGCCCCGTGATGGAGCGGCCAATGATCACCATCTCGGGGGACCCCAGCTCCCGGCTGAAGCCCATGAAGCCGCCGGCCAGGAGGATGAGGAGAGCGCTGCGGCTCAGCGTGCCATTCCTAGCAGGGCACAAGCAGCAGGGCAGCCCCTCCAGCCCCACCCCATCCCTTGACCACCCTGTCCCATGGCACCCCCTTACCTTCCGTACCGCACCACTAGCAGCCCCACCAGCAAGGAGCCCACCAGCCCACCCAGGGCGAAGATGGAGACAGTCAGGGAGTAGAAGAGGGTCAGGGGGCCGGGGGCCAGCCCGTGCCCGTACCGCCGGGCCCACGTGGTGTTGTAGAAAGCCTTTATGTGCTGCAGGGCAGAGAGACACATGCAGGCACCAAATGCATTGGGAGAAAGGGG